AGAGAGGGATATGCGAGCAAACCAAAGAAAGTGCCTTTAAGTGTGTCATCAGAAATTGTTAAGATCTCACACTAAAGGTTCTACTCTTAGGCCCCTGACAGTCATTGTTTAGCTAGTATTGTGACTCCTTGGTTGCAGAAAAAGGATCAGTCTCTTGAGGCAAAGGTTTTCAGCTAGACTCAAGTATGAGTGATTCACGATAAGGCACCTCAAAAGAACGTCCCTTTGGGAGCCTAGACATTTGGGTACCCCGTGCTGCTTAGATCTGTGGGTGAGGCACCCAGAGTTCCAGGGTGTCCCCTGGAAACCTGGAGTCTCGTGAGCAGAAAGAGGTTATAGACAGTGTGGACATCCCTGACACAACGATCATAGTCTGGGAGAAATGCCTGACATTTCTGCTTGAACTTCTGATGCATACAGACAGAAGTCCAGTGGTCCAAATCTGGCAGTGTCAAAACAGGCACAGGTGTCAAAATAAGAGTTTCTTACCTACATGGAAGAAGAATGTGTCTTAAACTTGGAGATTTGAGTCTAATCAGAGGCTCAGGACTGTCAGAGATAAGACAGCCTCACAACCACAATGCATTCTCATAATCCTCCTGGGTCCTCCACATGAGGGCAACTGGTCTGTCGATGGAGCTGAAGACAAACTCCTCCGGGATCTGCTCACTACAGCAGACGACCCTCTGAATCAGCAGTGAACTAGTGACATGTATATCGTCCCTCTCCTACTAAACAGCTGATTTTGTGAAAGCTGTGGTTTTGGAGCATGTCCATGGCAATGACGAATATTGGACATACTGTCCCCTCCTGGTCCGCTGTGACAATTTTAGTACACAATGCGAAACAGAACATTAGGATGCTGACCTCACCAAGTATCACACTGAAAGACACAGAGACATAAAATAGTTTCCTATGTCCTGGCAGAAAACAAAAGAAAAGCCACTCATGAAACACACCCTCTCCTACAAATGAGATTTTTTAATTTTTTAATTACATGAAAAATATCCATTAGAAACAGGAACGCTTACAAAAAGGCCACATTTTGTACAGTTTTATTCCTAAGAGTCATTGACTTTCTACCTTTAAAATTACTGTAGCAAGTTTTGTAACTCTGACACTAAAGTGTTTTTATGAGCCCTCTTAGGAGGTCGCTACTAGTCAAAGTGACCATCAGGTCATAGTTCTGAACCTTGCTCTAGGTAACCTTGCTATGAGAAACAGACAGAAATAGAAGAACACAAAGCAATAACGAAACTGAGAATTCCTTGGTTTGTGTTACCAATAACGGCAGCACATGAAAGTCTTTGAAGTGAGTGTTGGGAAAATTTGTACTTCAGTCTCCAAGATGTAATACAGCTCAGTTTGCATCTCAATGTGCACCTCATGTCCTAAATGAACATGGTCCACAGCACACTCTCTCTATCTCAATTAGGTACAGAATAATCAAAAAAGGGCAAACAGATTCCCCACCAAAATCTTCTTTTTTTTTTTAATTAGCAGCAATGCTCAAAAAAGATGCAACTCCCTGATGAAGCATAGAAATCAGCAAAGTGATATTTTTAAAATTTGTATGTGTGTGTGTGTACACCGTCCAATCAGATCTGACTGGTCCAAAAGGAGATTGCCCCTCTGTCTTCCGCAGAGCATCTGGTGGATTCAAACCACGTACCTCTGGGACTGCAGTGCTGCTTCTTGCACTAGGCCACCAGAGCTCCCCAGAAGGTATTTTATTTTATGTGGAGAATCTATTAAAAAAAATGCCTTCTGAAATGGTTCTCTCCGTCAGTTCGTTTTGGCAAACTGAAATCCATGTGGAACAGCTGAATTAGATGATATTTCTATTTTCATTCTTCTT